GTTTTTAATTTTTTTTAAAGATTGATTTATCTATTTGAGAGAGAAAGAGAGAGCACAAGTGCAAGTAGGGGGAGGGGTTTAAGGAGAGATAGAGAGAGAACCCCAAGCAGACTCCCTCGGAGTGTGAAGACTGACATGGGGCTCAATATCACGACCCTGAAATCATGACCGAAGCCAAAATCAAGAGTTGGATGCCGAACCAACTGAGTCACCTGGGTGCCCACAACCTGGGTGTTTTTAATTTTAATGAAGTTTAGCTTATCAATTATTTCTATTTAAAATTTTAAGAATAAAAATAAAAATTCCAAGAGGTCACACTGAAGTAGCTCATGTTAAGTTTTTGCTTTTTTATAATCACTCTGCTATTGTTGTTTCTAATCTACTTTTAAATACAAGAATATGTAATAAGACAGAGACCGGGGACATAAACTATTCCAAAACAAGTTTAAACTATTTTAAACTATTATAAACTTGCTTTCAAAATGACTATATGCAGCTGAGTCTCCATGATCCTGGGGACAACTAACTATATAACTAAGAGTTCTCCAAATTTACTTCCAGGTAGAATATAACATTTATTAAAGAGTTAATAATTAAAATGTGCTAAATTGAAGCCTATGTATGTTACTAAAACTCAAGAATAATCTCACAGATGGATAAACCTTAGACCAACAAAAGATTTTGCAAGGAGGAGTATTTAATCACTGACATTGTATAGAATTGCCAGACATACTACTAATAATATGCAGACCAACCTGTAACCTACACATAATGCACCCACTTACTGCCTCTACCCAGGGCTAACTGCTCCCATGGCCCAGCCGGGGTAAGCCACTACACATAGCCATTTTGGAAATGTTTAATTAAAATCTGACAGAAAGACAAAAGGGGGTGGGGCACCTGGGTGGCTCAGTCCATTAAGTGGCTGCCTTCAGCTCAGGTCATGGTCTCAGGGTCCTGGGATCAAGCCCTGAGTGGGGCTCCCTGTTCAGCGGGGAGTCTGCTTCTCCCTCTCCCTTTACCCCTCCCCCTGTTTGTGCACACTCTCTCTCTTTCTCTCAAATAAATAAATTAAATCTTTAAAAAAAAAGACAAAGGGGAAATTTACTAAGATGCACAGTATCCCTCAAAATTCATGTCACTCAGAAACTCAAATGTTTTTGCCCTAAGAAACCTGGGACACACAGAGGGAGACATACTTCACAATCTCTGTGAACTCTCAGTATTGATCAGAAGTACAGAGTGGTCAGAAATACACCCTGATTATTCTGAATTCCGTATTTTTTGGCTATGTACTTTTAAGGTCTTTAAAGAGCAGCACTTAGAAAGAAAAAGAAAAAAATTTCACTGGCATTGTGCTCTCTTTCTGCTCTGTAGATACTGCAAAGATGAAACTGGGAACTTAAAAGAAACAAAGAACAAAGCAAAATTTGAAAAAAGAAAAAAAGAGGAATAAATCTCCATTATTGTTCTAATTATAACAGCTAGGGGCAATTTTTTACCTCCTCTGGCTTAGGAACTGTGCAATATAATTTCTAATCGTGGATTACATACTATTACATTATTTTGTCTATTTCCCTACAATAATTTAATTGGAGAATCTTGATGCTAAGTCAAATACAAACAACTACCTTCTGTTGCTTTTAGCAAGATTTACCTTACATAGGGAATACATGGGAGAGTCTTACAAAATAAGTGGTGCTAAAGAGAAATATCAACTAATTGATTTCCTATTTTTCTAGAAAGGTAAACTATAATAGTCCTTCAAACATACTTATTATGTCTTTGACACATATTAGGTAGGAATTCAGTATAATCAATTAGTAGGATAAAAATATTCAATTAACCTGGGCATAAGATGGCAAAACAGTGATTAGGAAGATTTTTTTATCCCATTTACCCAGAGTAGCCTCTCCCACTACACTTATACACAAAACTTCCTTTGTTAAAAGAAAGCTGAATCTACCAGACTTGCATTCTAGGGTCCCCGTGAAATGACTTTTTGGACAGAATTTATAATATCCCAATGCCTATCTTTTGGTTTTTTAATTTATTTTAAAAATTTCCTACATTTTCTTCATATGACCTCCCTTCAACTTACAGTATATGCCTCAAAGTTATTTCTTTCAACAATAAAAAAAATTTTCAGTCATCAAGATATTCTTCCCTGTTCACAAGGAAATGTAGTCAGCCCTTTCCCCTCCTACTAGACCCAGTACATCTCTGCTGCATGGGCTGTATCCAAAATTTGTAACTTCCCCAAGGCCTTTTGTCTGAGTTAACTCTGCTGCTGTCATGAGACATACTCAGTAAAACAAAAAATAAAAATGCAGATGTCTAGGACGCCTGGGTGGCTCAGTTGGTTAAGGTCTGCCTTCGGCTCAGGTCATGATCCCAGGGTCCTGGGATCGAGTCTTTGCTTCTCCCTCTGCCTGCTCCCTCCCCCCCAACCCACCCCGCCGCTTGTGTATGCTCTCTCTCTCTCTAATAAATAAAATCTTTTAAAAAAAAGTATATGTCTAATCTCAATGGAAGAGAGGCATGAAAGATATAAAACTGAAGCAAGATGGATTTCAATAAGATAGTTTAAAAACAGGAACAGTTATACTGAGAGCAAGCCCAAGATAACAACAGAACCATCAGGATACGAGAGCAATTGAGGTGAGACAAGGAGGTGCCTGTGACGAGAACAGAAGTCCTGACACAACAGCTAGTACTGGGGGGCATGTGAGCATGTGGAGTAGAAGTGAAATATAAGCACTCTGGAAGGCAGTTTAGTACGCTCTCTCAAAGCTGACCTACGCGTGCCCTGTGATCCAGTGATTCCAGTCCCAGCAGAAATGCTGTGCTCTGACTGATCGTCAATAATGTTCACAGTAGTGTTAGTCAGAATGGCCAAAACTGGAAACTACCTAAATTTCAACAGCAGAATGTATCATACATTGAAATATCACACAGTAATATAAATAAGCAAACTACAGCTATATGTTTATTTATATATATATAAATAAACAAACTACAAACTACAGACCACATATCTAAATGTCACAAATATAATGTTGAGCCAAGTTAACCAGACACAGAAGAATACGTACCACGTGGTTCCCCGTACATAAAGGTTAAAGACAGGCGAACTACACTATAGTGTTACAAGGCAGGATAGTGGATCTTTGGGAAGGAGGAAGGCGCAGTGATTGGGGAGGCTCACAAAAGGCAAGGGGAGTTTCGGAGGGGCTAGCAATGCTCTATTTCTTGATCAGGATAACTGTTACATAAACGTTCTTTTTCTAATCATTCACTAAGCATTTCACATATGTTCTATGTATTTTTCTGTATACTTCACAATAAACAGAAAATAAAAAGAAATTCTAATCTGACAACATGGATGGACCTAGAGGGTATTACATTAAGTGAAATAAGTCAGACAGAGAACGACCAATACCATATGATTTCACTGACACGTGGAATCTAAAAACCAAAACAAACAAATAAACATACAAGAGCAGAAACAGATCCCATTTCTATTTCAACAAATTGATGGTTGCCAGATGGGAGGGGGTACGAGGACATGTAAAATGGGTGAAGGGGAGGAGGAGGTACAGGCTTCTGGTTACGGAATGAATAAGTCACCGACATAAAAGCACAGCACAGGGAATATAGTCAATGGTATTGTAATGGTGTCACATGGTGATGGGCAGTAACTCCACTTGTGAGCATCGCATATTATACAGAGTTATCCGAATACTATACTGCACACCTGAAACTAATGTAACATTGTGTGTCAGCGATACTTCAGTTTAAAAAAAGAAGAAAAGAAATCCCAATCTGACACTTTCCCACTAAAGAGATAAGACTAAGAGACCCCTGCCAAGACAGATAAGGATGGCAAGTAGCAGTCAAATTCCTTGCTTGCTGAAACACTGGCAAGTCTGAAACCATTGAAAACATGAAGAAATTTAGGGCTGACAAGTATTGAATTCCCTGTAAGAACCACCCTGGAAACACAGATCAATTAGGTATTATTTCTCACTTACAAAACGTGAAATTAATCTATACTTTAATCTAAATTTCAAAGGCAAACACTGATTCCTGAAACTTGCAGAGAGCTCAAATTTTTATTTCATTCTGGTTTCCTCTTTTGGGCAATCAGAATCGTGGGGAGGCACAAGAGATCCTCTGATCCAATCTCTACCATCCCAGTCTAATGGACAGATGGACATAAATACTCTTCAAAGTTCCCACTGCAAACGCATGCTGAGATGTTCCTCAGTGGCCCATTCTAGCGTGCACCACCTTGACTACCGCACAGCTGCTCCCATGGGTGATCTTGGAAATATGATTTTAGGACACCATGCAATTCAGCTTTGAACAGTATATTCATAATATAATAATGTAAACACTGAATACTAAGTTAACAAAAATGGCCACAGGACAACACTGGAAGGGCAGAGGGAGGTAAAATGTGTACACTGGGGGCCAAGCAGGGGTCAACAGAAAATCATGTAAGACAGCTATATCCTCATCCTCTAGGTTTGAAGTCAATAGATAATACATCATACTGAAAAATTAGAAAACGCGAGTAGAAGCAGGTTATTTGGGAAGGTGAAGATAAACAGAAGAAATAAGTAAAAGTTAAAAATGATTGATTCTAAGGAATAGAAAATAGGAATAGGAAGCATTGGGCAAGGTACCCTATTACCTTCTGGTAATATCTGAGCTTTAAAATTATACATATGTACTACTTTGATATAACGTAAAATGTAAAAACACAGTAGGAGAATATTTATAAATAAAATAATATGTAAAGCCTGATCCATTTGTAAATATAAATACACACACACAGAAGCTTTGGAATGCATGTAACTGTTACTAATGACTGTCTCTATGTGATGAGATTACAGGAGTTTTGCTGGTTTCTTCTTTTCCTACAAAGATCTGTTTTGCTATTTTAACAAGAAACATACTTTTTCTTCACAAAATATTTTAAAGTATTTGCTTACCTTAGCTGATTTTTCAATACTTAAGCCTCCATCCAGTTTAAAAAGAATTGTCATGTTGTATCCAGTCTGGTTTCCATGTCCATGAGGCCACCAAGTTTCTACGGTAACATTCTTTGAAGAAACAATGTAAGTCATTCTATGTAATTTGTGGCATATTTTCAGCAAAATATTATAGTGATTAAGAACATTATATCAATGTCTCATAGAGTCAATCACAGAAATTCTAGGTTCTATATTAGGCCAAATTATACCAATCCATACATAATACTTAAAAATCAACATGCTAGATGTTTTAGCATGGATTAATATACCAAAAGGGGAAGGAAAGAACAGAATAACATGGGCTTTCAGAAAAACAATTATTTCCATTTCTAACACTGAAGCTTACGTTCATTCTGTATTCTTAACAGTTAGAATTGGACTTTGAGGTTGACTCTTTTTCCAAGCCCAGAACTAGAAATTGTTTCTCACTTTTAATCTAAAATTCTCACTTTATCCAAATAGTCACAACGTTGCTTTACTCCATCCTGTTCAGTTCACAATGATTAGAGGAATAAAAAAAGGAAAAAGAAAAGGGAAAATCCAGCCCACTTCTAACCATGAAAGATCAGGAGTTTGGAATTAGAATTCTGCATGTAAAATAAGCACCAATATTCAAAATAATTTACTGTATTTAATAATCACTGAAATCAGAAATAATCAGAAATTATACAGAATTATACAGAAATAATCACTGTATTTAAATGTAATGCTTAGAATGTATTTTGGATTTCGGATACTGCAAAGAGTGCAGAAAAATTAAGATACAACACACCTGATTTCTTGAGAGAAAAGGATGCCAAATCATATGTTCTCCATTTTCTTAATCTTAAAATTTGGAAATATTGTTCCTTAGTTCGTAACACACACAAAATATATGAGAGGTTAAAAGTGAAGGAGAAAATGGAAAAGTACATTTCTCTTTCACTCTCAGCCCCTTTTTTCTAGCCATTTCTTTTGAATAGTATTGCTTTTCATCTAGTGGTTCTGAGGAAGTACCATCATTCACCTTATTAATTTTCACAAATAGCTCAACAATCCTTTCCCCAGGTTGAAGTTCAATGCTGTATGTCTGCTGTGTCTGCAGTTTAGGGATGGCTACGATCACTTGACCAGAAATTGGCTTTGAGCTGACAACATCAAAAGAAGACTCTATTTCAAGATTCCACCCCTGCGTATGGTTATCTAAGGCATAGAGAAAAAAAAAAGAAAAGAAACATATATATATATATATATGAAATATGCTAAGCATTATTGCTGCACTCTTTAGGATTCATTGAAGAAAACACTGAAGCAGCTTCTAAACTAATAAGCACTCCACTGATCCCGTCATGAGAAAAAGTCCAGTGGAAATTCTCATTTAATCTTTAGAGTTTAATCATTCATTTTGTTTTCTTGTGTTTTTTTAAATCATTCATTCTGAAGAAGAAAAACCAAAAGCATATATTTTATATACACTTCTACTCTAAAAATGTTACAATCATAAGTCATAAAACTTTATATATAGGGCATGAATAGAATATCACAAATGAAAATATAACTAAGATTGATACATGCTCATTCCTTTTTATAAAGCAAAGTAAAAATACACAGTTTAAAGCCATATAATAAGATATAACTTAGATGTAGTAGAATTAATCAAATGTGAAAAAACAGAGATATACAGTTGACCCTTGAACAATGTGGGTTTGAACTGCATGGGTCCACTTACATGATTTTTTTCAAAAAATATATTGGAAATTTTTTTGGAGATTTGTGACAATTTGAAAAAACTCACAGTTGAACTACATAGCTTAGAAATACCAAAAAATTATTGTAAGGGTACAGTATATAATACATATACAAAATATGTGTTAGTCGACTCTATGTGTTATTTGTAAGGCTCCTGGTCAACAGCAGGCTATTCGTAGTGAAGTTTTGGGGGAGTCAATGGAGTGCCTGGCTGGCTCAGTTGGTAGAGCTTGCAACTCTTGATCTTGGGGTTTAAGTTCACACCCCATGTGGGTATAGAGATAACTTCAAAAAAAAGTTATATGTGAATTTTCAATTGCACAGGGAGTTAGTGCCCCTAATCCTCATGTTGTTCAATGGTCAACTGTTATTTTAAATGTAGATTATTTAACCAAGAAATATTTATGGAGAACATTCTATGTGCCATGTACTTTGCTAAGTGATGGGAATTATGTGGTGACCAGGATAAACATAGCCCCTGACCGCATGAGTTAAGAGGCTAATGGGATATAGCCAAATACAAAAGTGACATAATACGAGGATGGGAGAAATATGAGGTTGTTCTGAGAAAACATTCATAGGAAGGAAGGTCACTTAACTCACAGGGGTGAGGGAAGGTCCTTAAGAATAAACAGTATCTAGCTGAGCCCAGAAGGATGCTTTAGCTAAGTTCAGAGGCAGATGAGAAGTTTTCTAGGCACAATGAAAACCAAGGGTGAAGAGCCCATGAGTGAGGAGAGCAATGCTTTTAACAAAAACTTGAGCAATAATGAAACTGGTAAGGGACATCAGAGTGACAGAGGAAGTAAGCAGGGTCCAGCTCATCCTGACTCGTGCGAGGAGTTTGGCAACATTACCCTAGATCAATGAGGAGCCGCTGGAGATTCTTTCTCAAAAAGGAAAACATGGGGCACCTGGGTGGCTCAGTCAGTTAAGCCTCTACCTTTGGCTCTGATCATAATCCCAGAGTCCCAGGATCCAGCCCCATATCGGGCTCTCCACTTAGCAGGGAGTCTTCTTCTCCCTCTGACCCTCCCCCTTCTCATGCTCTCATTATCTCTCTTTTTCAAATAATCTTAAAAAAAAAAAAAAAAAGGAAAACATGATCAGATCTGCATTTAAAAAAAATTACAAAGGGCTCCCTCACAATGACATAGCAGGATAAAAACAGAAGAAGCAGAGAGACATGAAATTTCTATCTGTGCAAAAGGGACAGAAGGTGCCACTTGGAACATCTAGGAATGGAGAGGAAGAAAAGAAAAAGAAAAGGGAGCAAGACTGAAGAGGGAGGCCACAGGGAGAAAAGAAAGATGAGACAGCTGCCTAAGGAATAACACTTCGGGAGTGGAGTTTGTGAATGGGGTAGAATGTTTCAAGAGGGTTCTGAAGTAGTGTTTTATATTATGTGCAAGATAACCCCTTCCTCCATCATCCACTAAACTTACATCGTTTAGTCTCCAGAATAGAATCTGTGTTTGGTTTTGGTTTTAAAATAAGACAGTATGCCAAAAGAGGCTTTGGGCAAGAGCAGAGTGGAAAAGCTGACTCATATTTTTTAAGTTACCCAGGAGAAACCAGGGATGGAGTACCAAAAAAGGTTGCATAGGCAGGATGTGAGAGCCACTAACAAAAGTTCTCATTCCTGACTGCCACAGAAAGGACAGTGACTAGTGCAGATACACTTAGTTTGTATGCTCTATGGCAAGAAACAGGAATTTCCTGCTCTGTGAAAAAGAGATGGGAGAAGGTTATCAGATGACAAATATCTTAGAGACCCTTTTCCTACAAATAAGGAGGGGACTAATAACCATGGCTCTGCTGCAAATGAAGGAAAAGTATGTATGCTGATCAATGAGCGAAGACTTTATAACTGGCATTCCTTACAAATGTAGAGCCACAATCAGGCTTACTGTAAAGATGATCATAGCATGTCTCATCATCTGTATCCCACATCAACCAAAAGTAGAGATGGACTGGATGCACACGGAAGTAAAACTAATCCTGAACTTAAGAACTATTTTATTTTTTAAATGATCCATTTTTTTTTTAAGATTTTATTTATTTATTTGAGAGAAAGTGCA